TTCGCTTGTATTCCTTTAAATAGGAATATAGATTTAAACAGTTTATATAGGTGAAAATTTGGAAAAATAACCGTTTTCTGTGATTTATCGATATTTAAAATTAAATACTTTTTGAAAAAGATGCATGTATGTAACCTTTACGGATGTAATTGTTATTTTTTTATTTTATCTGTAATGATCAGTACCGGATAATATTGTTGAGTCATTAGGATTTTTTTTAAGAAGGAGATGCGAAAAATGTGCAATGCTCTTCCCGGGACTCGAACTTGGACCTCTCGTACACGCGCCAAGTGTGCTACCGTGACACCACGAAGGCATGCGGAAAAGAGAGATAAAATACCTTATATACTTCCCTTTTTAAAGGGCGACTACGGATTATGGGATCCAATCTTCAAATCCTGGTGGTGAAGAATCATTATTCACCACCTTTTTTTACTTCGGTGCCACTGTAGTCAATGTTTCAGAGATTTTTTATTAAAATAATTTAATTAAATTTAAAATTTTATTTATTCAATATTTATGAAAACATACACAAACAATAATAATAATGACTCAAAGGGAAAAAATTCCAATTTTTATTTATTCTTTGTCTGAAATCTTAAGATTGGTATCTGCAAGAAATTTCTGTTGATTATATTTTGTAATTTAAAGTACTGACGGCTAAATATTAAATTTACAGACTAATATTCATTTTAAATTTCTTTTAAATAATTATAATATGTTGAATTAACCATATAATAACTTATTTTTAACTTAAACTAAAATTGCAAAAACTTATCAAGTAGAACAAAACTTCAGAATAAATAATGACAACCTATTATCTTTATTAATTTTTTTTGATACATACAGAAAAAATAATGTATTTGTAAATAATTATAAAATTCTTTATTTTGTAGAGTCTCTCCTGATTTTGTAAGACTCCTAACTAAGACTTTCAACGAATAATCGCTAAGTCTTTGAAAATATTACAAAGGGCACTACCAGTGTTTAAAAATCAGCCAGCATTTATGGCGTGAAATCAAAAGTAGAATTTAAAATTAAAAACTAAATCGAAATCTTTATTAGCTAAAGGCTGCGCAGAGATATTTAAACGCACAAGTTGGCTTTAAATCTAAATAAGTTTGCGTGACAGCACAATCTGCAGCAATAAAGCATCGTCGTAGATAGGACAGCTTATCGTAGACTAGCAGCTAATAGCGTGGCTTTCAGCAGGCAGAATACGCTATGATTAAAACAATATTCAAACCCTCACTTAAATACACGCGAGCTAATTTGCCAGAGGAGGAGAAAGTTGACAGTACAGATTCGTAACATAAAAGAACTGGTTAATCGACATAAATTAATTACAATTTCTTACCACAACTTTCAGTTACACCAACCCATGGCGTTTCAATTTTTGTAAAGTTTGTAACTTTAGAGAAACACTAACGAATTGTAGATGCGTATCGGTCAGTCTGGTTCTTCTTTTTTTCAACCCAAAGGGGCTTTGTCCCTGCAGGACTATTGTTTTCGTTTTGCGCTTTTGCGTTTAATCACTATAAACGTCCGTTTCACTTTTCAAACTGTTGCACCCAATGTTAGAGTCTTCAACACAAATCTTCACAAATCAGCCTGCATTTATGGCGTGAAATCAAAAGTAGAATTTTAAATTAAAAACTAAATCTAAATCTTTATTAGCCAAAGGCTACGCAGAGACATTTAAACGCACAAGTTGGCTCTTCACAAAAAATCTACATGAAAAATCTACATAAATGTAGATTTTTCATTATTACTATTTCTCGCATTGTGATAAAACAACTGTACATAGAGCCATTGAATTTTGAATGACGTAATCCTCCTACGAATATGGGCATGTGGAAGAAATTCCAAATTTGAAATTTGGAATTTGTTTTATTATCGATTTCATATTTTGAAAAACTTTAACGAATTTTTGATTAACAAACTCAAGGATTTCAAAGGGAGCAATGGCAACATTCTACGGGGGAAAAAACCGCGCGTAACTGTGTATCGGAAATTCTAAAGATATGCTCATTTTAAAATTATTTTGCGACATTGCTATTGAACTGAATTTTATAGTTTAAGTGCAAAGACCATGATCTTTAATAAATAAAGGTAACACACAAAACGTTAAAAAATGCCCCTTTGGACGTAATTTAAAATCTGAAACCTTTCAGATTTTTTAATTTTATTTATTTATTCTTTTTTTAATCTATTTATTAATTTTCAATTGCAAAAAAAACTGTTCACATATTCAGAAACAAAGCGATTCTTCTTACTGCAAAAATTCGTAACTGAATGTATTTATTCATCTTAGCCGCCGAGATGGTATAGTGGTTAGGGAAACGTGACTGAGATACCGAAGAGCCTGGGCTCGAATCCCGTAGAAGGCATGGGTGTAACTGTCCGTCCCTCCACAGGAGGCCACCATCGGCCTATAGGTGGGCCACCTATTAGGTGCCTCCACAATAAAGAGACCCTCACATTTGGCCTTGTATAAATTAATGGACTGTGTTACACTGTAACTGTTCACAATCTGCCATTGGAAAAAAACGTATTTATCTTTTGAAAACTGCGAAAAACTCTATAAAATCCGTGTCTTCAAATCTCTGAATAAGATTTGTACCACAGTGTAATTTAATTAGCTCTATCTGTAGGTTTTCTGGGTCGTTACGTTCATTTGGTGATGAAAGCAATGTCAAATTTGACTCAAAATCATTCAAATCTTCAATCTTTCTTCAGATTCTTGCCATAATAAATAATGCACTCTTGCATAATAAACTATAGTAGTTAATTTACAGAAAATGTACTCGCAGCCCATGCAAAACTGCTTTGGGGACCGCATGGTGCCCGCCAGCTGCCAGCTTGTGACCATTGATGTAATCAACAGGTAAAGAATATAAGATTTTATCTTCTTTCATTTCTGATTATCTATTGTTTTTAATTTCTGATTTCTATGGATTTAAAATTGTTTCGCCTCTTAAGCTGAAATCTACTTACAAAGATTAGACGGCAACTTCTTTTCAAACTTGTAATATTTAAATTTTAATTTCTTAAATATTTTCCAATATTGTTGCATTCTTTTGATACATGTGTATTATGAATTTTATTATAATTATTAAAGCGACTGTTAATAATTGATCAGTTTTAAAGAGAAAAAAAAACCTTCAGTAAATATGCCAAATGTGCTTGCTTAATAATCATCAAATAAATAAAATAAAACTTTTTATTCCACTCATTTGTTTGCGAATACTTTTAGCGGCATATATAAACTGTTACAATGTTCCAGCAATTGATTTCTTTAAAATATTAATTTCAAACCTATTAGGTAAACAAGTAATTCGCAGATGCAACTTCCTGTTTAATGAAATAATTTTATGCTTTGTCAAAAAGGCGTAAATTAAAAGATTTTTTTAATGCAGTCACAAATTGGGAAAATAAAAATACCATTCTTCTGCGTTCAAACATCTTGCGATTAAAAACAAAAATTCTCGAACAAATAGTGAAATGAAATTTGCATTTTGCTGCGTTTTTTCTATTTACTCCCTTCAAATTAAAACTCATTTATTCTTTAGCAGGTTCAGTTTATTTTTACTTCAGATAAATATTTTTGCAAATGAGATATTATGTAAAAAAAGGCAATTGTTTTAATTTTTGAGATTTGAACATCATTTCTTTATGTTGACTTTTTAACAATTTTGTATAACAACTGAAATAATTTGATTTTATACTAACGGACTACGGCCAAAACAATATTTATAAGTTCTAGATACTGAAAACACAATGAACTATTAATTTGATGTTCTGTATACAAAGTTGCTAGCTACAACCAAAGCAAAGTTTATGAGTTCTATATACACCTGAATAGGAAGTGCATAAAAACTTTTCAATATGAACGAAATCAGTTTTTCCCAAGCAACAACCAATTCGTAAATAATTTTTGTTGCCAAACCAGGAAACAAAAACTCTGTGCACTTCAGGTTAATACGAATACGCATGACATCATGATTTAAATTTAATGTAATATAACAACTTTTTCTCAATATTAATAAAAGAATTAACATGGCAATAACATATCGAGTCAGTTATACTAACCTGAAACAAAAACGTTGCCAAAACTAACGAAAATTTGAAAATTTTCGACATGCAATGGCGTCACGTGCCATCACGTGCTTTCTTCAACGTCAGAACATGACGTTATATAATAATAATATATTTAATGTTTGGCAATGCTATTTTTATTTCATATTTTGTAAAATATACGAATTTTTGATTAGAAAACTCTACAATTTGAAAACGAGCATTGGCAACACTTTTGGAATTAAAGCATTTTCATCTTTAGCGCGCGAGACGGTTGCCAGTAGAAGAAATAAGGGCGAAAATTAACGTTTTCAGAGTTTTTAATTAATATCTCGGGTAATTAAAGTATTACGAAGATGAGAATGATCGAAATTGGCTTCCCAGTAATTTTTGGAATCCGGGGAGGGGAGGTACTTCTCTCGAAGCTCAACTCTCCGCCGTTCCGGAAGAGATGATGCCACAAACAAACAAACATACACGCACAAATTTTAATAGTATAGATGATTTTACTTACATAGTATTACATGACCTTGTGATTATACTTTATGAGAATATTATTACAATATGTTGTATTGATTACCTTCTAATTAAGGATAATTAAGGATAATACTAATGCCTTTTCATAATTTGTTATCGATTAAGTAACAATCATATCAGTATTTGTAGTCACTAGCAAAAAACATTATCTCACTACTAACGCAATGAATTGTTTTAAGTGCATGTTATGATTTTAATGAGCTGAACAAACATTACTGAAACCAGAAAGTTGTGAATTATTTTTCTTTGTATTCGTATATACGAGTACAAGCGAAGATGAAACTGGAATAAATGCTTTCTAATGATTACATTCTACCACTGATTTGTCACGAAACTCACCTGGTGTTATTAAACATTTATTTACCAAATAGAAGAGAGGTATTTACCATCTTTATTCATTCCCATCTGAAGACACTTTTTCAACCTGCAAGCTTGACACTGATTCCGATGAGCTTTGTCCACAACACAGTTACCAGTTCCTGCTTGGCACCTGTTGTTGAAAATCTTAAATGAAGTCGTTATATTTCTCCAGCATCTGTATAGTGTTCAATCAGTTTAAGACACAGAAAATCAAAAGCACAAAAATTATATTAGGAATGAAACAGCTTCCGGAGCAATATATTACAACTTTCGTACACAGTGGTGTCTCGCGTAACGAAAGCCATCCACATTCCAATATGTAATAAAATAATAAGAGAAATGTTGTAATTTATGTAATAAAAGTTTTAATGTATTAAAATATTTTCGTCGAAAATATACATATGCAGCTTTAAATTTTTTTCCAGCTAAGTTTAGTTTGAATCTATCCAGTCTTTAACTGGAGAGAGAAGATTCAGTTTATTTTGAACCCCTTACATATGTAATGCTTTCGACAGCTGTGGGAAGTCCGTATTTCAAGATAATGCCCAAATCTTATTATCCTTTTCCTTCTCTTCAAGACAGTTCCTGAAGTAGAGAATGGCATTGTCACTGAACAGATCTTCTACTCGGTTCGTATCAGCTTGACTGGAATGTCATTGACAGTGACTGGATTGTCATTGTCGCTGGATCTGTTTTCATTTTTTCAGGAGATGCTGATGATTATTATATGGGCATGGACTCTTTATGCACTCCGTGTCATTGAAAGAAATTTCTCTCAGGGCTTTCACATGTGTGTGATTAAGGAGGACTTGCAGTTCTTCATTGCTAATGTAGTATATACAGTAGTATATACACGCTGGTTAAATGGAAAGTAACACAAACGTAGCCTTGCATTTAATATGTTATTAAAGTGTAATAGTATTCGCTTGCGTCCGTAATGCAGGACCAAGTTCATTACGTAGAATATTTTTCGTCCTATACCAGCATTCGTATGCGAGGCACCACTATATACCATATACAACATACACAAAACACGTTATTTTAAATTGACGAAATATTTGCAATTCTTTTGTTGGACTCTGAATGACTGACAAGCGAGTCAACTTAATCTGTACCAACTTCTTTGCTGTCGGGTTTAATAAAGCTATTTATTTGAGTCTTTCCTTTCATTATCAACTTTGATTTTTAAATTCAGTCTTGCTAATAATGCTAGATTATTGATCTCAATTAAATTATCTCACTTAGATAAGGTCTCAATTTTCCGGGTGTTTGGTCTTAGAAGGTCATATTTTTTCTCTTATAAAAATAAAAATTTAGACAACTACAGAAAACCTTATGAATTGTTAAAACTGATATAGCAAAATTAGCCATTCAATCTTACTCTCATTTCTTCTGTAAGCCTTTTTATTTAGATACTGGTGTACATACTCAAGCGCAATCGTTTTCAAGTTTCATTAATTCAAGAAACAGATAAAACTAGATATATGTATGTAGTGAAAACTCTGCCATACTAAAAATGGTAAATTAAAAAAAAAATACTGAAAGTATGTCGATCTTGCGCATGATTTAAGTGCAAAATGAAAAGAAAACAATAATTTTATTTATAAAAACAGATTTATTTCATACTATTTCAGGTAACATTTATACTAGAAATAAAAATGAATATCATTTAACATTTAATAATTTATTTTAGATACTTAGTTTTGCGGTTACGCATGGTATTAAAAATGGCATATTCTTTTGAATATCGATTTTAATTTGAGGAATTCCCTGGAAAAATTTCATTTTGGAGAGCATATAAGATTTATTTTTATATATTTAAAATTACGAGTTTTAGAATTTAGATTATTACGAATTTTAGAATAATTTTTAATTCATAGGATGCCTTATTATTAAGATCTAATTTTGCGTCATGCCTCCTGCAAATTATTTAGATGTCAATTTCAAAATGTTATGTGATGACTGAGCTTTAAGGCATGCGTTGCTTATTTTAGTTACTGTTTACTTCAGTTACTATTTATTGTTACTTTAGTTAATATTTCCAGCGTTAGCAGGGACATCAGCATCTTGGTTAACATGATTCAGAAAGCGAACAGAAGAAAAATGGCAAAGGAGAAAAAATGCGTGCGCGGTGAAGATGCACTCAACTGATCAATGTTTAGATATACAAGTAATGTTTGCGAAAATGAAAGCAATCAAAAAACAACAATATGAGGGAGACCATTGAGCAGTTAAAAACATTTTGGTTTTTGACGTTATAGATTAGTTACTCGATTTCTTAGAGAATTAGGGAGGCTTACTAGTAGTTATATAATATTCTAAACCAAGCTATATAATGTCTATGTAATTACATTAATTGTTTTTGAAAAGTAGTTTTACTTCTAAATAGATGGTTCATAGAATAGTTACATTTCATTACAAAAAACAGCGAACAACTGTAAGATTTATTATTTAAATTATTCAGTTATTTATCATTTAGCCTTTACTACAACTTCTACTTTCCGTTTCTTCGCCAGAATATAAGTAGTCTTAGGAGGCATTTAAGCTGAGGTTTTTGTATTGTAGTACATAGCATGTTTCTGCTCCTCAGGCTTACGTCACGTAGTTACTGTCTGCTCTGATAAGTTTGTAATTATTCGGCTTTGCGTTATTGCTGCCGGCATTTGAATTGTAACACCGATTAGAGTTTCTGAGCCAGCTAATATTTAAATTGAATAGTGTAGTCTTACGCCACGTTTTAAATTCAAATTTGACTGTTAAAGTCAGACAGAGCGATAATTCGCTTTACGTTTGTTAGGAGTTTGAAACTAGTATATGCTGACAATACAAGCTAAAATATATTCAACAACTAATTGGTGGGTGCAGAATAAAACTTGGGCTGATGAAATATGAATATATGTAATAAGATAGGTATGTGTATAGATAAGTATAATATGGGATGGAAAAATATTTTCGACATGAAAACTACACGTTACAGTATTTTCTTCGATTTATTTTCTTACGAGAGACCACTTTTGTTCATTAGTTACTATTTAAAATATAAGTGTTTAATTATTTGAAGAACTGATCTGTATTTTTATTTCCCTGACTTTTCGGAAAACGATTCTGACTTTTCCAGAATTTTGTTTAAGCAAAATAATATTTTTTTTTTTCATTTCCCTCACTTCCCTGGAATTTTCCAAATACGTCGAAACTCTGCCTAGTAATCAGGAATGATCTTTTTTTGCTAGTCAGATAATTAATTATATGTGGAAATAACAAGGCTTTTAACAAATCGCCAAAAAATATAATATTTTCTAAAGAATGGCGCTTTTAAATTGGCAACGACCAGAGTTTAGAGTTCTAAAGATGAACCGCTCAGATGTGTTTACATTTCTTTCGCGTGATGGTGCAAAATAAAATATATGTGTTCATTTTAAGCGTACATTTATTTTAAGAAAGCTTTTATTTATGGCAATAACTCAAATAGTCGTCGAACTCACATACATATTATATGCATTTTAAAACACAAATGGTTAATCACAAATACACTGTTTGGAAGAACACACGGTAGCCTCTCACACATAATGTTTCGAATGAAAACAAAAAGGATTTGTATATATAGTCACAGACTTATTAACCGGGGACGAATTAACTAGGCCCTGTCTAGAAAAAGTTAAGTTTGTTTATTTCAGATCTTTTCTAATGGCATTTATCCTTCAGTTATTTACAATATGTTCTTTTCGTTCTGCATAATCATTTAACTTACGGGTTTTTTAGACTAATTTGCCTGAAAATAGAGGTAAAATTTTATAAAATTTAAAAAAATTATATTTTTATTTTCATAACAGGGATTATTTCTCATTCCTGTATTCTTTTACTACCCTTGGAGGAATGGCAGTAGATTAGCCTTGAGGAAGGAGGGCCAGTTCGCCCCGGGCGGCACATTTTTGGGGGCGCATTTTTCGCAAGGATCGTCGAGGTATGGAAAGAGTAATGAGATTATAAACTGCATATTGAAGAAAATAGCTTTTACGTTTGAATTGCATTTTGAAAATAATAGCTAAGGGGAAAAACCACTTTTACTCCAGGTAAAGTATTAAAAAAAATCACCACGAGATTTCAAGAGTTACGTACTCTAGCTATAACTTTTTATTTCGTCGAAATGTTTCAATATCAACTAAATTACTATCACGATGATATTAATAAGTAAAAAAATCTTTGCTAACAGAAAGGTACTGCGAGAGTTTTATTTCCGTTATTATTAGGGAAAAAAATAAAACAGGAGCGTGGAAGGTCGGTCCATTTGAGTTTTTGCGTTTATTCTAAATACAATCTCAAGAACTAAATTCCAAATATTGTATAATATTGCGAACTTTCCTCACAACTGCTGTAGGCGCTGCCGGTTCTGAGAAGAGTTTTCTAATCAAAAAGCATTCAGAAAGCATTTTAGATTTATAAATGTTTATTTTCCGTTTAAGAAGTATTCAGTACTAATTATACTATAAATGCCCTGTATTTAAAATACCTTTCTATACTCTGTACATTGCAGCAAATAGAGCAATCAAGTTGACCCCTAAGAAGTCATATCAAGGGTTTTGAGAACAAAGAAATTTCTGTATATGCCATTTTGATAATCTTTTATCTATTTGTTTGTATATCAAAAGGGGCGGAAATTCAGGGGTCATTCGAAGCGGCAGAATCAGGAACCGCCCCAGGCGGCAAAAGCTCTAGCTACCCTCTGGATTTACCGTGATTATGAGGAAATCATGGACTCCGCCTCCGTTTTTATCCCGGTAAATTCGTACTGAATGTGAAATGGTCTCTCATATAGGACTGTGTTGGATCATGTCTCATATAGGACTGTTTTGGATGAGGAAAAAAACGGCTTGCTTATAAGTTATTCTCTTTTTATAAGGTCGATATACCGAAGATATTTCGTACGAAAGATAATTAAATGCTTGAATATTATACTTTCAGGGAAAATTACATAAATGTGTATTCCTTTAATGCAAAAAAATAAAGGACAAAGAATAAATTATCATACCACGTTTTAAAATACTAAGGCTGCGTACGAAATAAAGACGGATGTAGGCTTAGAAGGGCATTTAAAGGAGGGGAGCCATCGTCTTTAATTGTATGAGATTTAAGATCACATTTTTTTTTTAACTTTGTAGGCATCATCTTATACATAACACTGAGATATATTACAGTAGCCGTATAGATATTTGTACATACCTGTAAATCAGTTTTCTCCTCACACTCCTCTTGAAGAAACCGCTGCAACCGTTGCAGGCGAGGATTCCGTAGTGCTTCCCGCTCGAGGTATCGCCGCAGACGACGCACGTCAGGCCCGGGGAGATCCTCTTGGCAGGGGTGGGGCCCAGCACGTCGGGGGGACTACCCCCTTGGAGACGAGAGGGCGGCAGGGGCGGTGGCGGTGGATAGAACCCGTGCACGGAGACGGTCGGACAATGGGGGTGCAAGGCGGAGGACGAAGACGACGATCCTGCCAAGGGGGGCGGCGGCGGAGGCGAATCTCTCGGGGGCGCTTCAGGCGAATGTCCCCCCACAGTGCTGCCAGGAGATGAAGGCTCTAGGAAAAAGAGGATAGGAAAATGGAGATAGAAATTCAGTTGATTTATGAGTATGTAGTGGGAGGGAAAGGAGGGGTGTAATGCTACGGAGGCACCGGATTGGCGGGGAGTGTTAGGACTAAAGGCAGAGATAGGTTACAGATTCTATTACGTGAGGAGAGGGGTTTATAGAACGAACTCACGAACGCAGTAAATTACGCAGAAGTGACTGCTTAATGGAAAACTAGCAATATGTTTAGATATATACTGTCTACATGAATAATCCACCAGCTCTTAAGTGTCATTTAATGATAATTTGCCTCCATATATAACAACATACCGTCTATCTTCGATTCTAAGACATCATCCATTGTACGACATACCCCTTAGTTTTAATACTCCATCATGAAAAAGATTCAAGAAAATAAAGTAAATAAAATGAAATACTAAACTATGTTCAACAAATATTCTTATTTAAATAGTAATTATCTGGTAATCTGGCATGTTCAGTATTTTAGCGACGCCGGATTATGGAAACTAAAATTGGTCAATGCCATAAAATGATTCTTTTTGCTTTATATTTAGGAATTTTAGGATTATGATATGGAATAGCTATGATATAGATTATGATATGGAATTTTAGGAATGATTTAGAAATTTGCTTCATATTTAAGAATGAGAAAGTTACATATAGTCATCTACAAACCTATTTAATGAGTAAAATTTAGTAGTAAATAAATTTATTCATAGTTTGATTCAGAGATTCCCAACCTTTCTCTTGTATAAACACCTTTTAAAACAATTGTTTCCTCCAAGGAATTTTTGATCACGATAAGCTATATATTTTCTATGTTTTCGTGTACAACGGGAAGAACTTTGACAACTCGATAACGACATCCATATGAAAACATTGACCGCGACCACATTAAGCGGTGCCTATTGTATTGTAAATCATATTGGTGGTTGTATGGTCGAAATTCGGGAGCTTCCAGTCTAAACCGGGAAAGCTGACATCTCTGAAATAATATCAGTTAGATAAATTATTAAAAATTTAAAAATTTAAATGAATCATTAAGTATACTTATTGCTTATAAGTTTCTCACTCTGTTCAAATACAGATGAAACATTGAAAGGAAAAAAAAATCTTAAATGTTTCAGATTTTAATAGCCACCAACAAGGGTTCTTTTGAAGTTTAATGCAGTTTATTAGTAAATTTGGGCCGAGTGGAATAGCGACATATTTACAGGATACTATATGAATATATATTTCGACTAGGAATTCCCAACCCTTTTACTGCATTGATCTCTTTCAAAAGAACTGTGTTCTTCATCGAATCTCTTACATTTTTCTCCATAATATACAGCATGCAACATAATCATAACACAAGTAATTGCACATAATTAAAGCAAATTTATATATTTAAAAAGTATTATTGTTTTTAAATATATTGAATTATATTTGTGGATTCTTTTCCTTATATTTATTTTATATAATTTCTTCCTTACTGCAGTGTAATTTTGTATTAATAAATAATTACTTACCAATTTTAAAACATCAATAATATTTTGTAATCAAAGAGATATTCATATTGCCAATCAATTGCCCATGCATTTTCCGCTATCGACCACTTGATCGCCACTGACCCCCTTTAAAATTTCATCGATCTCCAAGGGAACAATACCGACCCCGTTGGGAAATCCTGGTTTGATTACAAGGTGTTTCACAGAGGACCCCTAACTTTGAAAATAAATAACTCGGAAACGATGACAGATAGATGCATGAAACAGGTGGTAATTTTATTAAATAAACCTATAAGAATCTGATACAAAAACACCTGAAAATGCAACGAGACTTTCTGCAGTTATTGAGCGTCATCCGAATAAATCTGTCTGCAGACTTGGCAGCTGAATCCGGAATCAAGCCATCCAGCACTTACAGAATCCTGTGGAGGACTTTACACATGTTTCCGGACAAGATTCGATGCCAGCACGCTAAACCAGTTCAAGCTGAATGACAAAGAGAGGATTTTGCTCACAAGATGCTCGAGATAATTGATGTTTCTGGCTTTGATGAGGGCCGAGTATGGTTTACACAAAAGGGTCATTTTCATCTGGATGATGTCGTTAGCAGACATTACTTGCGATTTTGGGATACCGAAAATCCACATTTGTCTCACGCACGATCACTACATTGCCCCAAACTTACCGTTTGGACTGCACTCTCCTGCAAAGTCATCATTGGGCTCGTTTTCTTGCGAGAAATGATGACGACTGAGCGATATATTGCGTTTTTGAAACAATTTGTCGCAACTCAACAAGCGCTGGATGATCAACCAGACACGGCATGGTTCATGCAATATGCGTCTCACCGTACACAACATGTTTTTGACTTTCTGCACGAATACTTCTATGATAGAGTTATTGCATTGAAATATTCGACAGTTAAGGGCAAAGGAATCGACTGGTCTTCCTTGTTCACCTGAACTAAACCCCTGCGACTACTTTCTGTGGGATACACTGAAGGATATTGTTTACCGTAACACTCCTTTAACATTGGATGAGCTGGAGGAGGCAATTTGTCAAGCTTGTGTGTCAATTTCCGGTGATATACTACAGACAGTGATTGAGAATTTCATTCTTCGTTTGCGACATGTGTGTTGTGCGGAAAATTCACATTTTGAACCAATTTTGATGTGAATACAATGACAGTTTGCATTAGTCACTTTGCATAGCCTACTTATGGTAATGCCATCCGCAGCGCCATCTATCAGCGCAATTTATAACTAATTTTTTGGGGTTTCTGTATCAGATTCTTATGGTATTTTTAATAAACATACCACTTATTTCGTGCTTCTATCTATCATCGTTTTCGGGCTATTTATTTTTTTAATTTATGGGTTCTTCGTGAAACACCCTGTATATTCTATCTGATTCTCTTCTAATCTTCAATGCCAACACATAAAATCTTTCCAAATAATTTATAAATATTCAGTAATACATTCAAATATAATATATAGATTCCGCTATACTTCAAAATTATTCCATAAAATATGAATATTTATTATTTCTAAGGAAGATATCAAAGGCCGTCAGTCAAAAGGCATTAGGATTCATAGTCTTTTTTCGGGTAATTATTAAATGGTTATTTAATTGACACGTCAAATAGCTGCAATTTGCGCAAAATATCCCTAAAATGCATCAAATATTAGCATTTTAGGACGGTTCCAAAGATTTCTAAGATAGCTAATAGACATAACATAGATTTGTAAGGTTGAACTTAATGGTATGTCTAATTTGCACTTGGTTAAGCCTTCTTGTTTGGACGAATAAACTGTAGGGTTTCCCTTAGTTTTAATAACCAATTATTCTGATTTTTGTTATCTTTTTTAAACTTCTCAATTTCTCCTCGCATTTCCTCGCCAGGTTGCAAATTAAGTGAAGAAGAAGAGTAATTAAACGGACGAAAAGAAAAAGTTAGTTAGAGCGTGATTTCACTAGCATAGCGCACGCTGCGATTTTGTCCTTCCTGCTGTTACTCTGAGTTGCTGATACGCCTTCTGGCTGTTTATTCAAAGGTCGCGGGTGTAGGTTGCTAAATAGGCCTGTTAATTTTAAGTAGTCCAGCACTACTCTTTGCCATTTAAGTTATTTTTAAGTTACAACCGCAAGTAGTCTGTGTTATAGTGAGCACGAAGAACGCGCATTTTTGTTCAGGAGTTTATCAAATAAAAGGGCAATTTAAACACTTTTCCTGTGTTCTATTTCTTCAACGCCTGCGCGAGAAGGCACCTGGCTTGTAGATCGTTGCCTTGCATGATAGCTCAAAGGGTGCGATCTCACAAATCTTCTTTTACAACTAAACAGAACACTAACTAAAAAGCAATAACATAGTCAAAAGTCAAAACTTTGTTAAAACATTTATTAAAATTCCGTTTTTTGAGCATTATGAAAATTACGAATTCTCATATTCTTCGTAGAATTCAAAGAAGAATTTTACTACGAGCTGCGCGTGTTTGCAGAAAAATTAGCTTTAAAGCCTATTTTGCATTTGCGAGGTTCCCCCCCCCAATTCATCTTCATAATGTTAACAAAGAATTTAAAGATAGCATTAGTAAATTTATGTCCAATACCAAGGTGCTGTTTGAGAATCTCCCTCATCCCGTTGATCCTTTGCCAATTTTAAAAATCCCGTTGCAGATAATTTTCCAGTTGTGTGTTACATAGATGGTTAATCGAGCTGGGTTAGCTTGTGTTATGATTCTGAATAAGAAATCATGGTTCTGAACTGGAATGGTTCTTATGGTTCTGAACTATCATCAAGATTCTGAACAAGAAAATTAAGCAGCACTGGATAATTTTGAAGCTGCCTTAAAATGTTGTAAAAAGGGCGAAATGTTTATAATGAGCAGCATATGTCCCATACTATAGGAAACAGAGTACAGTTGGACACTATAGAGTTGGACACTTTTTAGACATATGTTGATTGTATCATACTATAGTTGACCACTTTTTAGACATATGTTGATTGTATCAAAATATGTTTTTAAATAATGTCTGTTTCCTATAGTATAACGTATGCTGCTAAACATTTTAGAATGCTGGACGAATGCAGCATGTTTTCGAAACCGAATTACTGTACATTAGTGAATCCGTTAACCAAATATTTAATCATTATTCGTTAAAGCTTTGCTATTTAAACCAAATACCTAATCATTGTTCGTTAACACTTTGTTATTTAAACCAAATATCTAATCATTGTTCGTTTAAAACGTCGAAACTTTCTTATTTGCACTGTTTCTTGTTCATCCTTATATATTCCCTTATGTATAACTTCTCAGTAATAAATTAATTGTCCCCTTTCATGTGATTCTTAAAGATCTATAAGGTGTTTTTCCCGCCTTCTTAGCATTCCTTCGTAGTGTAGTGCTCAGCACGCTGGGTGCGTATTTCAGAGGTCCGGCAAAGGTGTTGCTCATTTTTCACTTTTTCCTGCTTCAAAAATAACCTATTGACATTACAG